CAACCCCCCCCCCACCTCCCGAGCCGAGGTAAACCTGTTTCCACACACGTTCAGAGGCGTGAACTCACCCGCCGCCGAGACAAGGGGACTGTCTCCGTGGCCCTCTGGGCTCCTGGTTACGGGAGACGCCACCGGTTCGAGGTTTCTGCGCGCCGCTCACCGGGAGACTGGTTCAGGGGCGACCACTCGCAAAGGCCGCAGCGCAAACACTGCCGCGCTGCGCGGGGAGCTTCTGGAGGTCTTCCTTTTGCCCGGCGTGCACTGCGGCCGAAACCGTGGAGAGAAGCACCATAGAGAAGAACGCGTATAGAGAGCCCACACGGTCGGCGCTCAGTCACCACGCCCCGGCGAATGACCATAGAGAAGGAACGCCTAGAAAGGCTCGAGCTGTAAATTACGACCCACCCTGCCATGTTTGATTGGAGCCGATTGAGTCTTGTGACTGCGGGACGCCATCTTGAGGTCAAGGTTCCCGCTGGACCCTGCGCGAGCGACGTTAGAGGATTTCTCACTTATTATAGTTTGTGTCGCGGATTAGATCCTTATTTGAGGTTCGATGGACGGACCAGTCGGCCCTCACACAGCACCTTAAGCCCCAGGGGCTGCTCTTCCCCTAGAAAACGATGGCTTTTTATTTGTTCCAACACCATTTCTCGCCTCTATGCCCTCTTCCACCCCCACCCCACCCGGCCGAACTCGACGACTCTGGGTGCCGGGAGAACTGGCCCCGGTGGGGTTCTTTTGTTTATTTGTTTTAAGTGCACACACACCTCACATAAATGCTTATGCTCACTGGGAGGGCCGGTGAGGTAACTAGATGTTGGAAATACCTCAACCGACCTGTAAAAACATTCCCCATGGCTTTCGTTCTCCAACGTAAAACAAAACAAAACAAAAAAAACCACTCCGCTAACTAGATTAAGGAGAATAAGCGGATCACGCGTGATTAGATTATTCCCTGGATGGGCTTAACGGTCAATAGCTATTGACAGGCCTTTGTTTCCCAACCGCTTGCTTCTCAGAAGGCTCATAATTTATTCAATATGAAGTTACTGTCTCCATAAAGGACTGTGCTGGGCTGAGTGCTAGGCGCTTGGTAAATGGGAGTGAGATGGGTTTTTGTTGTTGGTTTTTTTGGGGGAGTGAGGTTTTATTTCTGTCCTGGAGGACCTGCTAACGACGCGGAGCCGATGACAAGTTTTGATCACTGTATGTAAAATGGAAACGTATCTAAACAGTTCCTACTTGCGTTGTTTCCTATTTAATTTGACTTTAGAGAACGAATCACCATCTACTGTCGTATGTATTTTTTCTTATTCTGTGGTCTGCCTGCCCTACCTCACTAGAATGTAAACTTCAAGGTGCAGAAACGCTGTTCATTGCTGTATTCTCAGGGCCTAGAACAAAGCCTGCATGCAGCAGGTGCTCAATAAATAATTGTCGAATAAAAGGAATTAGTACAGCCCTGGCCAGTGTGGCTCAGTGGGTTGAGAGTCATCCCATGCACCCAGGGGTCCTGGGTTCAACTCCAGGTCCAGGCACAAGCCCAGATTTCGGGCTTAGTCCCCAGTAGGTGGGCAGGAGGCCGCCGGTCAATGTGACCCTCTCACATCTATGTTTCTCTCTCCCTTTCCCTTCTGTCTCTCTAAAATCAATGATAAAAACATTTTTTAAAATGATACATGATGAGCCCTAACCAGTTTGGCTCAGTGGATAGAGTGCCGGCCTGCGGACTGGAGGGTCCCGGGTTCGATTCCGGTCAAGGGCACATGCCCAGGTTGCGGGCACATCCCCAGTAGGGGGTGTGCAGGAGGCAGCTGATCGATCTTTCTCTCTCATTGATGTTTCTAACTCTCTATCCCTCTCCCTTCCTCTCTGTAAAAACCAATAAAATACATTTTTTTTTCTTAAAATGATACATGATGAGTACCAACAGAAAATAAAATGCAGCCCTAACTGGTTTGGCTCAGTGGATAGAGCATCGGCCTGCGGACTCAAGGGTCCCAGGTTCAATTCCGGTCAAGGGCACGTGCTCAGGTTGCGGGCACATCCCCAGTAGGGGGTGTGCAGGAGGCAGCTAATCGATGTTTCTCTCTCATCGATGTTTCTAACTCTCTATCCCTCTCCCTTCCTCTCTGTAAAAAATCAATTAAATATATTAAAATAAATCAACCTTTCACTACTCCAGATATTTGTAGTTTGAATAGGAAGTCCAAAACCAGGCCCCTTAGGACACAGGGAGAGACTTTATAACCCAGTTAAAGCCCTAACATTGTACCAAGCACTATTTTACTTCATATTATTTTATACTAGAGGTCCAGTGCATGAAATTCGTACATGGCGCGGGGGGAGGGGGGGTCCCCTCAGTCCAGTCTGCACCCTCTCCAATCCAGGACCCCTCAGGGGATGTCTGTCTGCTGGTTTAGGCCCGATCTCCCTAAACCGGCAGTCGGACATCCCTCTCACAATCCTGGACCGCTGGCTCCTAATCGCTCACCTGCCTGCCGGCCTGATCACCCCTCACTGCCCCCCCTACCAGCCTGGTTGCCCTAACTGCCCCCTGCTGCCAGCCAGGTTGCCCCCAAATGTCCCCTCCCTGCCGGCCAGGTTGCCCCCAAATGTCCCCTCCCTGCCAGCCTGGTCACCCCCCAACTTCCCCCCTGCTGGCCTGGTCACCCCCAACTGCCCCCCTGCTAGCCTGGTCACCCCTCACGGCCCCCCTGCCAGCCTGGTCACCCCACGCAGCTGCTGTTCAGTCGTTTGGACGTGCCTCACTAACCCCCCTGCTGACCTTGTCGCCCCATGCAGCCTGCTTGTTCAGTTGTTTGATCGTCCCTCACTAAGCCCCCTGCTGGCCTGGTCATAGGCAGCCATCTTGTGAGGGTGTGAGGGTTAATTTGCATATTATCTCTTTATTATATAGGCTATTTTATTGAGGATATTTTATTGATTTTTACGGAGAGGAAGGGAGAGGGATAGAGAGTTAGAAACATTGATGAGCTGTCTCCTGCATAAGCCTTACTGGGGATCGAGCCTGCAACCAAGGTAGATGCCCTTGACCAGAATCAAACCCAGGACCCTTCAGTCCATGGGCCAACGCTCTAGCCACTGCGCCAAACCAGTTAGGGCCCAAAGCACTATTTTAAGCATCTTACAAATATCAGCAATTTTAATTCTCACAGTAACCCACCCGAAGTAGAAACTATTGTTAAACAGATCATGAAACTTAGCCCTGGCCTGTGTGTCCAATGGTTAGAGTGTTGCCCTGTGTGCAGAAGGGTGAAGGGTTCAATTCCTGGTCAAGGGTGCATACTTGGATTACAGGTTTAATCCTCAGCCCCAGTCCGGGCACATGCAGAAGGCAACCAATCAATGTGTCTCTCTCGTGTTGGTGTCTCTCTCTCTCTCTCTCTTTCTCTCTCTCTTTCCACCTTCCCCCTTCCACTCTCTCTAAAAAAAAAAAAAAAATCAATGGAAAAAATGCCCTGAGGTGAGGATGAACAAACCCAGCCAGTGTGGCTGAATGGTTGAGCATGGACTTATGAACCAGGAGGTCACAATTCGATTTCCGGTCAGGGCACATGCCTGGGTTTTGGGCTCAATCCCCAGTTTGGGGCATGCAGGAAGCAGCCAATCAATGATTCTCTCTCATCATTCATGTTTCTCTCCCTCTCCCTTCCTCTCTCTAAAAAGAAAAAAAATCACTAAAAACTTTTCTTTAAAGAAAAAATTTTTTTGATGATGACTAATTTACCTACTTTTTCTTTACTTGTGCTTTTGGTGTCATAGTTACGATCCTGTTAACCTAATCTACGGTGTCTTACTCTGTTTCACCTGCTATAAAATACGTACTATAGATTGAGCACTTATACTAGTAAATAGCGGAAATCGATTGCTGATAGTTCTGGAGGCTAGATCCAAGATCAGGGTGCCAGAATGGCAGGTGAGGACCCTCTCCCGGGTCTCCAACTTACTGTGTCTGCATATGGTGGAAGGGCCTAGGGAGTTCTGTGGGTCCGCATTCATGAGGGTTCCACCCTCAGGACCCAATCACCTCTCAAGGGCCCCACCTACTAATACCACCTTTAGGATTTAGAATTTATTTATTTATTTTTGTTAATCCTCACCCAAGGATATTTTTCCATTGATTTTTAGAGAGAGAGGAAGGGAGGGGGAGAGAGAAAGAAACACTGATGTGAGAGAGACACATCAATTGGTTGCTATTTTTTTAAAATACCTTGTTATTGATTTGAGAGAGAGATCAATGTGAAAGAGTAACATCTATCGGTTACTCTAACCGAACTTGCAAAGTCACCCAAACCAGGGACCTAACCCAAAACCTGGGTATGTGCTCTGACTAGGAATCAAACCGGCGACCTTTTGGTGCAAGGGACAATACTCAACCAACTGAGCCATACTGGCCAGGGCTGGTCATTAGGATTTATACCTATATTTTTTCTGAAAATTTTATAGTTTTGACTCTTACATTTAGGTCTTGGATTCATTTGGAATTAATTTTGATATATGTTGTGATAGGTGGTACAATTTCACTACTTTGCATACGAATAATCCAGT